CATTTTGGAACAGTATAGTGAGATAAATAAACTGAAAACAAACCGTAATATTTTTCCTCTTTAAATAATTCTGGCGCTGCATATGGCGGTGAGCCACAAAATGTCCGAAGTTTACCATCTTCTTCCAATTTACAGGAAAATCCAAAATCAGCAAGCTTAATTTGTCCAGGTCGTGAAAAGATCACATTCTCAGCTTTAATATCGCGATGAACAAGTTTTCTTGTATGCTAAAGATACAGCTAATTACCATTTAAACTTATATCACAAATATATCATTACATACTTCTTTGACAGTAAACATAATAGTTTCATCTCTTCAAAAACAAAAAAATTCCTTTTTTTATATCCGTAATTTAAAAATAAGTTTATCGTATTCATGAGGTTAGTAGAAAAAATGATTACCATATGCGCAACGGCAGCAACAATTTGTGAAAACAGTGGTTTACAGTCTTGTTCTGGTAGCTTGCCTCGTTCACGGATATAACCATAAAGTTCACCACCACCAGCGTATTCCATTACCAAAAATGTTCTGGTCATTGTTTCAACACACTAAATTAGGCACTATTTAAAATTTTAAAAAACTTTTTCTCGATTTAATTGGTTGTCGCCCACCTACTAGTTGGTCAATCTTTATGTAAGTTAATTACATGCCTTATCTTTTGGTAAGTGAGTAGCGTATGGGGGAAGGGGAGTATTATACGGACAAATACATGTCAAAGAAAGATGTTGTTCGTTGATCAATGTAATACCCATTTAAGTGTATCAGTGTTGCTTTGTTCGTTTTTTAAATACTGCTACCGCTACACTGACTGGAGTCGTCCTTTAAACAAAGTCTTTCAACTGCTTTTACAGTCAAATGCTAATTTGTTTTTTTGATCAAACCGCAAATAAATAAGTAAACGAAATAAAATAACGCAAAACATTTTTAGGTTTTTTCATATATTATAAATGATACACTTTTTTCTGAAGCCTTTGAAGGAATTTTTTTTTAAGCAGCACGTTATTACACTGTTATAATTTAAAGACGGGGCAAAACAAAATAAGGAAAGAAGGCAAAATAAAAGACTGTATTTTACAAAAAACTTTTTGCCTCTACTCTGTCGAGCGAAAATAAGAAAAAGCTGGCATGTCTAAGAAAAAATGGCGTTTAAAAGGTGCTAAGCAAAATCTCTCGCTGAGTGGTTCAGGAGAGCATTTTTTGGTAATATGTATGAAGCAGACCAAAGCTTCACCTAAGACCTAAGTTCTGCTCGTCACTACGACGGAAGAGGTGAATCCATCAGCACTCATTCTTTTCTCTTCTTCGTTTTCCTCTATTTTCTTCTCGGTATTCTCCTATTTCTCCCCTTCCCTCATCATTCGTTTGCTAATGAATGAGTTCTTAACATTGTATAACGAGCAAAGGGCTAAATAAGAAATACATTAAAAGAAATAAAAAACCTCAAAAAGTCTAATGATATTTGGATGGTGCAATTCTTCCATTGCCTGAATTTCGCGGCTCAATAAATGTTGTGCTTTCTGATCCATTTTCGACCGTTCCATTATTTTTACAGCAACTTTTTCTAAAATAAGAATTCTTTTTGTATTTCTTGTCTTTTTGCTCCTTCACATACACCCAATTGGTAGTTAAAAGCAACAACGGGGATAGAAAGAATAGACCAGTGGTCTTTACACGGCTACAGTAAAACATTTCTGATCCAAAGACAAGGTCAACCCAAAGTTGTTAAATGTCTGATAATCTCTTGAATTTTTCATCTTAATGAACCATTTAAGCATATTTTCATCACTTCATTAGCAGTCTATTGATTCATTTGCTTCTCATTGCTGCTGCTTGCCTGATCGCTGTTGCCGTTGAACGGAATTCATGAAAAACATAGTTTTTGCGAAGATGAATCATTATTGCTTTCCCATCTTTTTCTCACCAAATAACACCAAATGTGACATATGATCTCTTCATAGTACATGGTGAAATAAAAAATCATATCTCCGATAATTACTCCTAAATTTGCACTACATCCTCTCCCTCGCCTTCCTCAGTCTCCGTGTCTCTTCCCCGTCATGCAGTTTCATCTCTTTTGCAGTTTCGCTGTTGTCCACCTTCACTTCCGGAAGTCAATCAATTCTTAAGTAGTTAGGTGCTACCAATGAATGGAGGGTGGATGTTGTTGATACTGATAAAGGTTATAATAATAAAGCTGCTTGTTGTTGCTGTTATTGCTGCTGCTGCTGCGACTGGTGATGATGATGAGAAAGAGAAGGAGGAGGAGGAGGAGGAGGAGGAGGGAGAGAGAGGAGGAGAGGGAGAAGAGGAAAAAGAAGAAGTTAGTGATGATAAGCCGTTTTTAAATGGCTTTAACAACTAAATTTTTAAGGTATTTAATTAAAAATCAAGCTGGATGCAAAAACAGCAGACAACATGCAAGTACACATAACATTCGTACATATGAATATCGGTTATGTTTGTGTTATGAATTTTTACTAGTGTTTTCTATTCAAGCAAAATAAACAACAGCAAAGAAAGCAGAAAAAGCCTAAAGTTATAAGGTTGCACTTAACTCTTTATTATCCCTTCTCTTGCCTCAAACTCTTTTTTATCCACTTACATTTACTTATTTATTAAAAAAAACAGTTGATCAGACGCCTTACGAAAAAAATGCAATTAAAAAGTTGAGAATGATTTTCATCATAACTTTGCTTCTTTCTTCCATGTTTTTCGTTTTCGTTTCTTTTATTTCTCACACAAAAAATGAAGTGGTTGAGTTTTATAAACTTTTAACCTATTACTTTCGCTGTCTTTGTTGCAAACAACTTCTCCTTTTTCTATGAAGAAATTTTCAATGTAACATAATCAAAGCCATCAGAAAGTGATTTCTTAGTTCGAAATCTCACTTTATTTTTACCTTTATCTCCAAAAACAAAAAAATTTTTTGTTAAATACTCAAAAAAATAATAAATTTTTGGACAGAAGAAAACCTTTTTGAAAAGCTGATAAGATCTTTAAAGAATCGATAAAATTTCCTCAGCAAATCCTCAGCAAATTCTTGTCAAGGAAAAAGTTGCACTGCCGTTTATCACAGTCTTCCGCCTTCATCAACACTTCTTTTTTTTCCTGCACTTCTGGGAGAAGAGTGCTCCATCTTGGAGCATCTTCCAGTTTTGGGCAATTTAAATACTGCTACAAATTTATTGATGAAAAATTTGTTGATTTGGCTTTTTTTATCCCTCCCTTATGTCACCAAACTGCTGTCTTTCTGTGACCATCAATCCAGATACAGAAGTTTTCGTTAATATTAGTGATTATGACGACGACAATATGTTTGAGTGATGGTAGCCTGACGGTAATACAAAAAATGATTGTAGTATGACTTTGATAAAAAACAATTATCAACATTTCATACAATTTTTACTAGGTACCTTATTGCCTAAGCGGCAATTTATTAAACACACCACCTCTTTAAACTTCCCACTTTTTCAGTGTACTTTAAAGCAGTAAAAATAGGTGTTTAAAAAAAAACTACAAATGCGAGAAAAATAAATAAATAAATTACTAGATATAACTAAAATGAAAAAAAAAAAGAAGTAGCAATAAAAGAGCTTCTATATGTACGTTAAAAATAAAAAAAGCACTTTAAAAGAACCAAAATATCTATTTAAGATTTAAAAAATTCAAAAAAGAAATAGGAGATTTGTTGTGCGACTAGAGCTTTAAAGTACGATCTGTTCCCCGCTTCAGAACACAGACTAGTTCACCACTTAATGTTTCTCACTCGTTTATTACAAGGGATTCTAAACTAACAACATCAGTGTCATCAATGTCGGCAGCTCCCATCAAAGTCATTAACATCATAACCGTTAAAAACATTGACGAACATACAGAAGCAGTATCACCGATATTGCGTTTTGAAAAATTTGTTACTTTAATCGTTAATTTATGATTAGTATATGTTTACAAAAGATTAAGCAAGAAATAAATAAACACAAGTTGCACTAACCTTGCGTTAAAACATGCACTCCAAGTTTAACTTTTGAAAAATTTCCGGCCCCCAACTCTTTCCCTAATTTATAGAAGCCAATTCGTCGCCCTAATGTTACTTCCTAAAATTTGCAGAATCGTTCCTTGTAAATAAAAAAAAAAAGAAAAAGAGTCATCCAGCAAAACCAAACGAATCGTTTTAGGCAACAGATTACAAGCAAACGGCGAACTATCTTCGTCTGTCGACAAAAAATATGAAAGAAAGAAAGAAAAAAGAAATAAAAAAATAGAAAAAGAAAGAAAAAAAGAAAGAAATAAAGAGAGAGAAAGAAAGAAAAAAAAAATAAACACATATTTTTCTACCTTTTGTACTATAAGATCATTCTTGAGCAAATAAACTTGTCGTTCATATGGCGTTGTTTTAAGCAACGAATTTTTGTTATTATTCGTATTATTTGCAGTATTGTTAATCGGTAAAGACTGCGCACTAACTGTTCGTATAACACTGGTCAAGCGTTCTTTATTTTTCAGTTCTGCCACTGTCTTCTGAAGAAAAATAAAAACAAAATTATTTAATAAAATACAGCAGTAAGAGCTTTCTTGGGCTATATTGTGGCTTTAAACGAATATATATATAGGTAAAACCGACATTAACAGCTGAAACTGCTTTTGATCGATCATAAATGTTGGTCCTTTGTGGTGGCGTAAATCCGGCATTTAGCACCTCACTACGGTCGTCTACTTGGCCCGGCAAATAACCATCCAATGATGATGGATCTGAGTGAATTTCGCGAATATACGGTGGCCCAGCCATTAGGATCATACTAATAACTTTGATATGCTAGAAATAGAAAGTTCAGTTGTTGTCATTGCTTTGTCCGTAACAATTGAAAGCGAAGCTTAAAGTAGTTAACAATTCTTTTTTATGACTACTGTCACCGTTCGAGCAACAACACAGAACAGCGTAAAATTTTAGCAAAAGTTATAAATCTACTGGAAATGGACAAAATTTTACGTTACTTCTTCGCTCTATGCTTGCCATCAACTTTTCTTTGTTCTTCAATTCTTCTTCGGCGGAAATTACAAGAAAAAAAAAAACGCTTTTCAATCAAAAAGTTTTAAGTAAAAAAAGAGTATGACTGTTTTATTGTTTGCTTCCCCTTTTTTTAAAAGCTGCAAAAGGATGAGAAGGAACAAGGAGGATTATCAAAGCTGTTCAACTTCTTTCTTCGTCATTTAAATGCACGCCTTTCGGTTCTTATTTCGTTTTCTTTCTTGAGTTTAGCGTTTTTTAGAATATTCTCATAAAGTGAAATGAAGAGATGTGATCAAACTATCAAAATTTGGTTTTTTTCCTTTTCCATCTTTTTTTTTT